GTTGAACTTGGTTTGTAATAACTTTAATTCATACTCTGATGATGGAAATGTATCTGTGAACTTTATGTAATATGTGACATGTATGTTGAATCATGTATGATCTTGGTTGTTTGTGGATCGTTTATCGAGACCCATCGTGATACTCGACGGACTACCGGGTTTATATGGGTTCAAGTATGACAGTGCGACCACTTGTGGGCTATCATTGTACTTGTGCTCTTATAAATTGGACGGTTCTGCGACAAAGAGGGAAAGGTCCGAATCGCTGGCAACATGTTTTATAACAATGTGCATTTATTGATCATGTCGCCAAATCTATACCATGCATATGGACCATTGGCAACTGGAGACTACTTCCTCCTTTCCAAATTAGAAGTCATTTTAATGTTTTAAAATATACTCTATATTTCATTGTTTAAATTATGAAAATATACTCTAAATATAATACTATCCTATAAATCTTATTTAAATTACATACCTCTAATAACATCTCTACTATAATGGACCAGTCAAAATTATACTAGGTCTCCCAACAAAACACCCCCCGCTGGGAGCCTCCAACCATTGTGCACCTAGAAAAATACACACACGAATTCAGCACCATTAAAATCAAGGGTTAACCAAACACCTTAACCAAATCCGATGGCCACAATTCGATGTGGGATGTCAAGCTTCTCACCCCGCATTCTCACCCCCGCACCCTGCCCGCACTTCAACGTGGTGTCCGCCATTCAACGCTCCATCGAAACCAATCATCATCACCGAAACAAAAACCTAGCCGCCGCCACGAAACCTTTCGATAGCAAAAAAACCAACGTTAGAAACCTTCCTGGCCGCCACCGCGAAACCTTCCGATCGCCCTTCGCGGAGGCGAGGAGGAAGCCATGGTACCTGCTGTCAGCGTCCTGATCACCCGTGCCCACACCCTTCGTGGAGGCGAGGAGGAAGCCATGGTGCCTGCTGTCGGCATCCAGATCGCCCGCGCCCACGCCCTTCGCGGTCGGTGCTGCGGAGGAAGCCACCGAGGGGAGGACGAAGCCACGCCAATCTTCCACGACCTTCACGCGTGCGAGTGCGAGCTTTGTATTTTCCCCTGTGGTCGGCCTGTGCCCCTTCATATCCCTGCTGTGTTGTGCTTCGTACATACGCATAACGGTGGCACCGCGGCAGGCGCTGGACGACGAGAAGCACTACAGCAGCACACATGAGTCACTGAGTCCTCTGCAGTATGTCTCAAAATCTTCATTTAGGTTGTTTGTTTACTCATGTTTCTATTTGTATGGAAAATGGACCCTTGGCCCATTTACTTTGGATTTTGGTGTTTGATGATCAACACAATCAAATTGGACTAATAAATTTGCAAGTGATTGTTTTGTAGTTCAATAGGATGCAAGACGTGACTTGGACAAAGGCGACGTGATGATCCGATGATCAACACCATAAGCAAGACCTTAGAAGCACAAGAGAAGACCCAAGATATCAAGCAAAGTCCAAGCATGAAGATAGGAACCACGCCGTACGCAAGATCGCGAAGAAACAAGCTCACAAAAGTGACCGGACACTGGAGGAAAGTGACCGGACGCTCCGATCAAGAGGCTCGGCAACAGGAGCGACCGAACGCTGGATCGGACGCTGGCGGCAGATCGATCGGACGCAGGACAGCAGAGTTCGGTCGAGTACAGAGAGGTTCCAGAGCGGCGAAAATGCGACCGGACACGTCCGGTGGCATGTGACCGGACGCTGGCAGCGTCCGATCAGTAGTTCGTGGCTCCAACGGTCGGGACGACCGGACGCGATCAGCGTCCGGTCAGTAGCAGAAAAGCGGGATTTCATCCCCAACGGCTACTTTCTCAGTGGGGCTTATAAATACAACCCCCAACTGGCCATTTGACAAGTGTGGAGCTGAGGAAACATATCTAGGGTGTTGATACACCATTTTAGTGATCTCCACTTGCATAGTGATTAGCGTAGGTGCTTTGCGAAGTGCTTAGGTTGATTAGACCACCGCTTATGCGCTTGCTCTAGGTTTAGGCCTAATGTTTAGTGAGGTTTGCATACCTCTTATCACTCGATGCTTGCGCACACCATTGTTGTACATCGAAGGGGCTTGTAGTCTTGTGAGATCACACCAACCGCGTTTGTGGTGTGGCCACCACCGTGTACCGGAGGGAACAAGGCCCGCGGCGTTTCGGCCGGAAGCTTGATAGTAAAGACGGCGGGGAGCATCCAGGAGAGGCTTACCTGAAGGCACGTCGGAAACCCACTTGCGCGTGGGGAAGGCCCGAGGCTATCCACGGAGTTACCCGACCGGGAGCTTGGCCCTTGCGAGAGATTCCTTGCGAGGGGCTCCAACGAGGACTAGGAGGAAGCTTGCGTACTTCTCGATACCTCGGTAAAAATACCAGAGTTATCAACGAGAGTTTGCATATCTCTACCTTGCTCTTTAGCTTCCGTATTTATATTAATTGTATTACTCCTTTTGCGGTAGAGATAGCAACACACTAGCAAAACCGTAGTTGCACATTTAGATAGTTTATCTTTTGCATATGTTTTGCTAAAATGACCAAAAGAGGCCATAGTTTAGAAGTAGATTTTTAAATTACCTAATTCACCCCTCTCTTAGGTGTCACGGTCCCCTTCACTATTTTTGTCTCCCAATCTCTCCTAGCCTCCTAGGGCTAGAGACACGCGCATCACGCATCAGTTGTGGGTGTGGCTCACGCGTAGGGTGCAGCAATCAAGCTAATGCTCAGTTCGGGCCGCCGTAGCAACATCATGTCCTCATCGGGTCCTGATACTTGTCACCGTCGAGTGGACGGCAGTGGGCGCCCGTGACGGCGCGATCCTTGTCACCGTCGGCGACATTGCCCAGGTACTTAATTATAAGTGCAAATCTCTCAGGTATCCCATGAATATTAGTCACTAAAATTTGCAATAGCATCATCAGAAAAAAAAATAGAGATTACATAAAGCACCGTAACTATTCTTATCGTCTTCATCTGGTATACTTAATTAAAAAAATACTAGATGCATATTATTCACGGGTACTAGAGATTACATGATACTAGATACTAGCTTTGGCTATCTGTATGAGGCGCAGATCATCCACCATTACATGATACATATTATTTGCCACTGCTACCACAGACCACTATCGTGAGGAAACCCTACTGCCCGCCGCTACTGCCGGCTGAAGATCGTCGCTGGTACTTCACAATGTCTACGCCCGGAGATACACGCGATGCGCTAAGCAATATCACCAACATCATAGGTATGCTTTCAGTATGTATGTATACTGCACTTTTGGGGTGTCTTTCTAATTTCCTATATACATCCAAACGCCCACTTTAGATGACGCCTCGTGGAAGAGGGAAGAAATAAACATGCAACAGCGGATTCGTCGAGCTGAGATGTCCAGCGAACAAATAGAAGAGATGAAGAGAAAAAACGTGAATGCATGCGTGACTACCGAGCACGAAAAAAGGCTACATCCCAAAATAGTAGCACTTCCTGTGCTTTGACTGAAACAGTGCCCACAACAACACCCATGGGTACTTAATCTCTTCGATACTTTCTTTATTTCTATATAATGAAACCTACTTCCGGCGAGGCAGGTCAGCACATCAACCACATCCTTTATTTTTTCTCTGTTAACAAAATAAAACCATCGTCATATATTTTTATTGTGCTTATATATATTATATAATATTATATATCTATGCAGAATTTCATTTGCATCAGCTGCGTGGCAACCATGTAAGTGGCAACAGCAAGGGGGATGAATTCGACCCTGAACTATTCAAACCAACACATAATGGAGAAGATGGTACTATGACTTCTTAGTTTCTCGGATTGTATACATGCTCAAAGATATTGTGTAAAAGTTGAACTATGAAAAAAAAACTATTGGTTGTTTTCACGTGTGTCTCCAAGATAAATCCGTTGCGTTAGCACGGGCATTATACTAGTCATAAAAAGTCTCAGATATATAATTCCTTATCTACTGGGCCTATCAGGTGGAATTCAGCCCGTTCACATTAGCCAGTTGCTCCTTCATTTCCATTGAATTTTCACTTGACTGGGGTGGCAAACCATCCTTCAGGCAATCAGAGGCACCTTTTTAACCTTGCTAAACATGTGTAGGATTGTCCCGCGCAAGCGCTAGTGAGTACTCCCTCCACCCTAATTGTCTAAAAAATAAAAATATTATTTCCTGAGGGCTGAGGAGTAAAAAATTACAAATTTGACTAAATATATACAAAGAAGTACTAATATTTATAACGTAATAAATATTACTAGATTAGTTATGAAATAGATTTTTATGACGAATTTATTTGTGTTAATACTTTTTTTTATAAACATAGTTAAATTTAAAATTGTTAGATTTGAATCTTTTTAGATGGAGGGAGCAGTGACCAAGCTATCCTCTTGCATCTCGACTCTTTAATGTTCTGATCTTCTCAATCACTGCTGCATTGTACGGTCACGCCACCTGCGTTTCCTTTCAATGTTCATTCATAAAGTTAATTTCGTCCGACAATGTTGTTGTTTTGCATCTCGCCATCGCGGAGACGAGATGGCAGATTTCCATACGAGCTGGAACGTGGACTGCCCGGCACACGGGCGACGCAACAGCCAACGACGACACGTCTCCACGATCCACGTCACGGCCACGCCCCCGACTCCAGAACCGACTCATCAACGAGGCCGCCGCAAAAAAGCCCGAGCGGCCGCGTGAACCAAACCCAGACCATTTGAGCAAGTGCGTTTGAGGACAGCAAGGGTAGTCCCAACCAGACGTCGATGGCCCTGTCCACCCTAATCAGCACCCTACTCGCCGCCGTCGTTTGGTGCGCCGCTTACCTCGCCGCCGCCATCTCCTCCGCCTTCTGATTCCCGGCTCCCCCGACCCCAACATCTCCTCCTTTAGCACACCCCACCTCCAGCTCTTTTAGGTCCTACTACACTCGCAACCTTCGCCCCGCCGCCCTCGCGCCGCCATGGGGTACGCGCAGCTCGTCATCGGACCCGCTGGGAGCGGCAAGGTACCGGTCCCCTTCCACCCCGACTCCCGAGCGGATGCTTTGCTCGCCGGCTGGCGCTAGTCAGAGTTGGGGGCGACTCAGTTCGATTAGGGCATGATGGTGTTCCCTCGGCTATTATGTTTCAGTTCCTGCTTGTTTCGATCGGGTATACTTACTTTCGTAGTGATCTGGTAGGGTTTCGTTTCCCGTGCGAGACGATTTCCCTCTGCTCTGTTTCGGGGGCTTTTAGTTTGGATAAACCAGTCCCCTTTTGGATTAGAGGGGACAGAGGGCAATGAACTAATTTTCCCACTCAATCCCCTGCTGCCCACATGAAAAATCTGCCACATGTACCTGTAAGACCACTTGCAAAAATATGTTTTAACTTTTGCATACTTGCCGAAGGGCGGGCCTGGTGCAAGCGGTAGAATCTTACCGCCTGTGACCGGAAGGTCCCGGGTTCGAGTCGCGGTCTCCTCACATTGCACAGGCGAGAGTAAGGTTTGCCACTGACACCCTTCCCTAGACCCCTGCACAGAGCGGGAGCTCTCTGCACTGGGTACGCCCTTTTATACTTGCCACACTGGGGTTTAGGGTCTGATTAAGGAGGAGTTGATGATAGCTTGCTCTAATTGGTTACTTGTGGTGTGTTTGCAGTCAACTTATTGCTCCAGTTTGTACGACCATTGCCAGACTCTGGGCAGGACAATTCATATTGTCAATCTCGATCCAGCTGCTGAGCACTTTGACTATCCTGTAGATATGGGTAATTTTTCTTCTTATGTGTTACAATGTAAAGCTCTTGTCCACACTCCACAGTAAAGTATTGCTCTCACTTACTTTTTATTGCCTTGCATTTTGGCAGATATCAGAGAGCTGATTTCATTGGATGATGTTATGGAGGAGATTGGGCTGGGGCCAAATGGTGGTCTCATCTACTGCATGGAGTATCCTGTTATTTAAGCATTATTTTTGCTTATTTTATAGGCTGCCAAAGCTATTTAGTTGATTAGTTCTGAACTAATAGCCGTGTTGCTGGTGCATTTTTACACTTATTGCTTGTTAATGGGTTGGAGATGCAAAACCAGGCTGTTAGGAGCTGAAACTGGATTTGTGTTACCTTTTCTTTGCACTTGGTTGTTGCTCTGTGAGGCTGATATTTTGAGTTTCAACATTTATTGCATATTTTTTTTAAAGGGCACCGTTCATTTGTTTGACCATTAGACATAAGCCCTGTAGATTGTGGCCATGCAATCATTGGATATTCACTGATATGACAGAATGTGGCGGGACGGATTAGCTCAAGAACTAATCTAGCTAACTTATGACAACGTAATTCATGATGATATTGTTCCTTATGTTCATGGAGTTTGTTTTGCTAGGATTTTATGCTTTCAATTTCTGTTTCCTTAACAAAACCTCAGGCACCTAGAAGACAGCTTGGATGATTGGTTTGATGAACAGCTAGAGAACTACTTGGATGATGACTATCTTGTGTTTGATTGCCCTGGTATATTCTCAATTCATCTTTGCATGCTTTGATTGTTTCTTAATAGTTGCACGGTTTCATCTCGCTTACTATTCTTACCACTTACATTAATGTGACAAAACAGGCAATCATCAGTCTTTTTTTACTGATGTGCATTATACTTGTCCATCAATTATACACAAATACCATTTTGGGTTACCTCTGGTTTGTTTAGCAATTCTAGTGTATATGTCTTTCTAATAACAATTCTATACATGAAAAACTACATATTTATAGGGTTGACATCACATTTATCGGTTAATAATTTTCTGCACCTTGCTTTTCCAGGCCAGATTGAACTCTTCACGCATGTTCCAGTTCTGCGGAACTTTGTTGAGCACCTGAAACGAAAAAATTTCAATGTTTGCGCTGTTTACCTTCTTGATTCACAGGTTTGAATCATGAATAGAAATTTTCTTGGCAATGAAGATACATTAAACAAAAACACAAGCCTGATTTCAGTTGTTTTTTCATGGTCCAGTTTGTCAGTGATGTAACGAAATACATCAGTGGTTGCATGGCTTCTCTATCAGCTATGATTCAGCTTGAACTTCCTCATATCAACATCCTTTCAAAGATGGATCTGGTCTCCAACAAAAAAGAAGTAGAAGAGTATGCTTTTTTTTTTCTTTCATCCCTTGCATAGTTCCAAAGGTTTGAATTCCTTGTCTGTATTAATGTTCCAATGTCTCTAGGTACCTGGACCCGAATGCACAGGTTCTTCTTTCACAGCTGAATCGACAGATGGCACCTCGATTTGGCAAGTTGAACAAGTGTTTAGCTGAACTGGTAGACCTACTATGAACCATCCTTCATGCAAGCATTTACTGTTAAAATATTTTTATCAGAGTTCTTTAGAGTGATGCCATGCACCCATAATTGTTGGATTTGTGCATTTAAATTTATCCTTTGGATATAAATTGATAGCCAAGTTAAGATATGCTAAAAGTATAGCTTAGCCTAATGCTCCTTCAATGTGGTACTGCCATGGAACAGATCGTCTTCCTTGGTGCTTACGTCTTATAAGCTAGATACAGTCACAACAACTTTAGTGTGTTTGAGCATTTAATATTTGAGTTCTATGGTGCATGTATCTTGTTGTCCAATGGACCACGGGCAATTCACCTTTGTTTTGTTTATTTATGGATGGGAAGTGGAAGTATTCTATTACCGATTCTTGGCTGTGGTGTGGTCTTCTGGAGTAGATCAAATGCAAACACTGCCAAATCTGGGGAGATCTTAGAAAATTCAGATTGTGCTGGATTTTCACATGGATTTCTACCAGTTTATTTTTTTTAATCTAGTAAATAGTAATATATACTGAATTTGAATGCTTTACTTTTACTGAGTCGCCAAAGGGCCTCTAGTCCAACTGGTTAGAGCGTCCCGGCGGCACTCCTCAGGTCCTGGGTTCGACTCCCCGTGGGAGCGGATTTCAGGTTGGGGTTAAAAATATCCCCTCGTCTGTCCCACGCCAAAGCACAGTTCTAAGGACCGACCCGTTCTCACAGGGCGACGGTGCCGCTGTGTAAGGGTGAGGCAGGGGTTCGGGGGTTTTCTGGGCCTGCGTGAGAAGGTCTTCTTCTTAATGCAATGCCTGGGGGTGGTCATACCCTCGCAGGTCCAGTTTTACTTTTACTGAGTCCATATGTGTTCCAGTGGAAGCCTCATGAGTTATGATTGTCGGAAAGCGTATTGCATTAGCCATTTGAAGTAGTTCAGTTTCTTTGTGCTTGGCCACAAGCTCAGAAACATTGATATAAAGTTGTACAAACAAGCAGATGTATTCATTTACATGCTTGTTTAATTATTTTGTATACTGACGTGCTATATTCTTGTTTCCTTTGTACATATGTGAACTAATTCCAATATTCTACTTGTGTCACTTTCTTCAGCGTCATGTTTAATATTTTTATAGTACCTTGTTTTGGTGCTATCAACCTGCAATATTAATCTCAATTCCATCATGTAGGTTGATGATTACAGCATGGTTAATTTCATTCCACTTGATTTGAGAAAGGAAAGCAGGTAAACTGTTGTTTTGTAATGTTAACAATATATATTACATGGTTAAGTTTATGTTTCTTAGTGTATTGTGCAGAACTCCTGTAAACTACACTATGATCGATGTAGCCTTTTGTCACTGGATCCCTTGGCATGGTACTCTGCTATTATGCCTACAAATGCACATTTCATATACCACATTTAACCTGGAAGACGTACTTCCATCTTGACACCTCATTTCTGATGCAGTAGCAGTGTAGCACACTAGGCACCATTAATGTGTTACTATTGTGTATTCTGCTGCTGTTACAAAATCATGCTTGATTTGACCCTAGATCTTCCTCTGGGAATAAAAAGAAGTCTAAATGTGGCAACTTTATGAAAGACCGTAACAGGATATGTGTTATTTTAATGAAAAAGGAAGGGGACTTTAGCTAGCTTGAAATGAATTAGTATCACCGATTCGTTCTTCCTTGCTGACTATTATATTTCTTTTGACATGGTATTTGTGGATATGCAAAATTTCAATTCTTTTATCATGCTATTTGAATTTGTTCTGTTCTCGTAGTCATATCCCTAAATGGCCCTGTTTCTGCAGCATACAATATGTGCTGTCGTATATCGACACCTGTATCCAGTACGGGGAAGATGCAGATGTGAAGGTCAGGGACTTTGAGCCCATCGAGGACGAAGACTAGTAATTGCCTCATTGGATGCCGAAGGACTGCAAACTGGTTGGTAGTAGTCGTGTAGTGAGGAGTGGCCTTTGGGAATATATGTATGGCGCAGGCTGCATGCATGCAAAAAACGTCATAGGATTTTGATGACATCTATCTGGTCTATGCAAGTTCGAAACTAAAGCAGAGCACTCATATCAGCGTTCCAGTAAAAATGATTGTGCCTTGATGTCCTGTCTCTCTCATCACTCCTTGGTTTATCAAAATCGATTCAATGGTTGCCGCATTTGTAGTGCTACTAGAAACTTAGCAAGGGTGAGGTTGATGCCAAATCGATTGTGTAGTCTATGGGCTGGGCTGGACTAAGTTCGTTGAGCTGGCTCGGTAGTTGGTTGAAAAAATGTTTTTTTCTTCTGAACTCCTTTTTATAAAATAAAATAAGTTGATTTTAAGTGATTTGCGGCTTGTTAAGCTCGCTTTGAAGTTCTCTAATTTAGGAGATCATGATAAATAAGAGTGTCAATTTCAAAGAAAGCTAAAAAATGAAGTTGGCTCGTGAGACTGATAAATAAGATTATGTTAATTTTAAAGAAAACTTGAAAAAAATGCAGTTGGCTCATAATCCACCACTGTTTATGGGCCTTCGTTGCCCTCGTTTGCAACGGTGAGACGCTCGCACATTGGCAGGGCTCTTTTGAGCTGTTCGAAGCTTCTACCAGAATGGGTAGCTCATTTAGGGCTTTCCCAGATCGCGGAGGCACGTACGACCGCACGGAGGCGGGATTGGCGTCTCCGCTGCGGCGGCGGGCGGAGGATCTGACGTCGGCTTCCCCTACGCAATCCTCCTGGCTTTCTCCTGCTCGGGCTGATCAAGGACTGCCCTATGCGCAGTTGCCCAGCCTTGGTAGGACGGGACCTAGGGTTTGGAATTTGGGGAAGCCGATCTCGACGGCGATGACGGAAGCGAAGTTGAAGGATAAGAAAAAGAAGGCAAAGGTACAAGATAGCAGCGGTGCAGTTCTTTTCCTGGCGGACTCCGAGAAGAGAGCCCGTCCAGCTCAATGAGTTGCCTAAGCTGGAATTGTCGCGGTCTCAGCAACGCCACGACACTGAAAGAGCTTCGCGAATTGGCGAGGCGTTTTGCTCCATCCGTGCTGTGCGTCCATAGACCCAAATGCACAAGTCGTGGGTGGAAAATTTGAAGAACATCTTAGGTTTTGATCATTCATTTGCTGTAAGCAGTACAGGCCGCGGTGGTGGTCTGGGGATTTTTTGAAATAATAATGTGCGAGTGGAACTGTTACCATACTCACAGTATCACATTGATGTTATTCTTACAGAGGGTGATAGAGAACCCTGGAGGCTTACATGTGTGTATGGAGAGGCGCAACTAAGCGAGTGACACAAGACGTGGAGTTTGCTTAAATTTATTAAATCATCATCCTCACCGTCGTGGGTTTGCATTGGTGATTTTAATGAGGTTTTAGATCAATCGGAGCACATAGGCATTCAAGAAAGGGGCAGAGCTCAGATCGAGGGCTTTCGAGAGATGGTCGACGTATGTGGCCTCAATGACCTCGGCTTTGAGGGCCGCAATTGGACCTTCAAAAAGAAGGTGGCAGGAGGATCGTATTGTCGTGTCCGTTTGGATTGCGGTCTCGCCACCGCGGATTGGTGCAACAAATTTTCTCATGCAAAAGTTCAGCATTTGGCAGTTGCTGCTTCAGACCATGGGCCGATTCTCCTAGAGTGGAGACCGGCGGTTACCAGGCAACGGCAGGGTAAACGGTTCAGATATGAACAAATGTGGGAGACACACCTGGATTTTCCAGCAGACTCCTGGCAACGGGAAGGAGAGGAAAAATCACTGAGCGAGCTGCAGGAGAAGCTGAAAGGTGTGTCGGGGCACTTGTCTATTTGGGAGCGCACAACCTTTGGTCAAGTACGACATGAGCTCTAGAAATTAAACAAGAAACTAGAGGAGATGCAGTCAGATCCGGGACGGTTGGGCCCTTCCTAGCAGGAATTGAAGTTGGTTGAGAGAATTCAAGAGCTTAACCACCGTGAGGAAATTATGTGGAGGGAGAGATCTTGAGTTTTGTGGTTGACAGCTGGAGACAAGAACACCCTATTCTTCCATTTGAGGGCGAGCCGGAGAAGAAGCAGAAACAAGATTTCACGACTAAGGAAGCCGAATGGGCAGTTTACCGAGGTTGATCTTAAGCTCCGGGCAATTGTCACCAATTTCTATAGCAATTTGTTTGCTTATGAGGGTACGGATAATACGGAAGAGGTGCTATCTACTGTTCCAGTTAAGATAACACCTGAAATGAATAGGACCCTACTTGATCCCTACAAGGAGAGGGAGGTAAAGGATGCTTTGTTCCAAATGTTTCTGACAAAAGCACCGTGTCCCGATGGTTTTCTGGCGCACTTCTTTCAGCGACATTGGGAGCTTTGTGGCAAAGAAGTGACAGCCATGGTGCTGAAGCTTCTTAATGGCGAGGAGGAGCCAACGGACCCATTAGCCTGTGCAATGTTATATATAAAATTGCATCCAAGGTGTTGGCGAATAGGTTGAAGATTTTCTCGTCTAAAATTATTTCTGAGGAGCAATCGGCCTTTGTCCCTGGCCGCCTCATCACGGACAATATCATCTCCGCTTATGAGTGCCTGCATTTTATGAAGCAGAAACGAGCAAGTGATCTGAGATCCTATGCTCTAAAGCTAGACATGAAGAAGGCATATGATCGAGTCGAATGGAAATATCTCGATGCGATAATGCGCCAGCTTGGTTTCCATCATCGTTGGGTGGACACAATCTTGAGGTTTGTTAGGTCGGTTTCATTTTCAGTTCTATTTAATGGTGACAAACTTGAAAGTTTCAGACCGACACGCGGCATACGACAAGGAGATCCAATTTCGAGCAAATCAGGAGAATGCCTTGTGGATGTAGGGGGTCTTACAATCGTATTGTTCAGCGTCGGGACAAAGAATCAATATGGAGAAATCATCCATACACTTTGCAAAGGGCGTCAGGCAGCAAATCCCCGATGTTATCAAGAACGAGATGGAGGTTTATAATGAGGCTTTGAGTGAAAAATATCTTGGTGTGCCTTCAGATGTTGGGACTGCTACAAACGGGGCCTTTAAATATTTGAAGGACCGGGTTTGGAGCAGGGTTGAGGGATGGTTGGAACAGTGCTTGTCTGCGGGCGGAAAGGAGATCTTAATAAAAGTAGTGGCGCAAGCTGTTCCAACCTATTCTATGTCTTGTTTTAGACTACCAAAGGGTCTTTGTGAGCATTTAACCAGTTTGATGAGGAATTTTTGGTGGGGCTGTAAGGATGGCAAGAGAAAGACATGTTGGGTTGCCTGGGACCAGATGATCAAGCCTAAATCTATTGGCGGACTGGGCTTTCGAGACATGGTGCTATTTAATCTCGCTTTGCTAGCGAAGCAAGCTTGGAGGATATTACAAGAACCAAACTCCCTGAGTGCTAGAGTTCTAAAAGCTGTCTACTATCCAGGGAGGCGGGATTTTCTGGAGGCCGATCTTGGTTCCTCCCCGTCACGCATATGGTGGTCCATTGTTGATGGACGCAAAGTGCTAAAGGAGGGCTTGATAAAACGCATAGGCACGGGAGAAAAGACGGCAATCTGGACTACGAATTGGCTACTATCGGAAAATTTGGGACGCCCTATCAGGCTGGCTAAACCAAACCAACCTCAGTTCGTCAGTGAACTAATCAATCAAGCTGAAGCGGCGTGGAAAAGTGACATGCTAGAGGAGTTATTCACCCTTCTCGACGCGATGACGATTGCTAATATCCCTTTATGTACGAGAAGGCATGAGGATTTTTGGGTTTGGCACTTTGACAAACGGGCAACTTCTCGGTACGCTCGGCGTATTATATGTTGGTTCGTCGAAGGGAGCGCACGATGCGGCCGCGAGGAATAATGCAGGCCGATCAGATCATCGAGCGGATGCGAGGGAATGGATGTCTCTGTGGAAGGTGAAAGTTCCTAAAAAATCCATATTTTTCTCTGGAGGTTAGCGAAAGCACTCGCTACCGACCGGAGACGTACTTCACCATAGGAAGATGGCACAGTGCAGTGCCTGCTTCTTCTGTGGGATGGAGGATTCATGGAGACACTCTCTGCTAGAATGTACTATGGTGAGATGCATTTGGACGCTGGAGAAGAAAGAGACAGTGGAGCTCCTGAGTGAAATTTTGGAGAATGATGCTAAGCCTTGGCTGGATATCATGACAGAGATCTTACCACAAGAGGACGTCATTAGAGTGGCAATCATGTTGTGGGCTATTTGGTATGCACGGCGGAAGGCGATTCATGAGAATGTTTATCAAAGTCCTCTATCGACACATAATTTTGTGGATAAGCTTGTGTCGGAATTAGGAGAGGAGGCGCATGTGCAGCGGCCACAGGCTCGGGTGCATGAACGGCGTACGGCATCGATCGTACCCTCCTCGGGTTTCATTAAAATCAATGTTAATGCAACTTTGTCCAAGAATGTATCCATGGCTTCGACAGCAACAATAGTGAGAGACGAGGATGGGTGTTTTATGGGCGCCTCAGCGTTGGTCCTTCGGAGCATTGTTGATCCGTAGGTGATGGAGTCTATCGCGTGCAGAGAAGGGATGGCTCTAGTTGCAGATTGGCTAGTGACTGTCTGAACGTGGTGAAGAGCATTCGACAAGGTGATTTCGGGATGAACGGACAGGTTATCCGGGAGATCAATGTGAGGAAGGCAGCTTTTAGTAGTGTCGAGTTTGCACATGAACATAGGGACTCAAACATCGATGCTCATAGAATAGCTCGTAGCTCGATCCATGCCAAGGTAGCGTGGCATGTGTGGTTCTTGAATCCACCTGATGGTGTGTGTAATATGTACAATCCTATTTGATATAAAGAGAGTGGTGTTGCTAAAAAATCAGCCTGTTCGCTTGATCATATTTGGCTTATAAGCTATGGCTTATCACCAATCAATAGTATTTTTC